AACCGCATACAGAGGATTTGCTTTCATCAGATGAGACAGTGTGAATTGAAGATCTGGAGGAACTGCGAGAATGGGGAGGAGATAATTGAATCACGGGTTGCCTAATCTCCCTCATCGTCATCAGGAGTTCCCTCATCACCTCATCTTGGTTAGTAGGTAAAGGAGCAGGGCATGTCTCTGGTTGGCCCCCTGACTCTTCATTAGGATCCTGCAGCCTGTGTGTGTCTGTGTCACTATGCTGGCATTCTGTTTGACTCTCTATATCACATCTAGCACTTATACTTCCGGGGTACTGAATGTCATACTGCTGCAGGTGGGTAGGAGGTCGCCTTTCACGACCGGAATGTCTCAAATCTTAAGTCAATGGCTGCTGTGAATCCATGATGATAACACTGCTCCGGCTCGAATGACCATGTTTTGGAGGAAAGAAGGCTCAGGATTTAAGTAGTCATCATCATGGGCTCATCCGATTAGAATGAGAATAAGCAGTCATCAATCATTCACAGGGTTGTCCTTTTATTCTCAAATCAGTAAAGGAAAGACACATATGGACTGCTATCTCTGAAAGGAAATAAAGTATGATTTAAGTAACTCAAAATAATACATGAACTCAGGAGACTCAAACAGAAACTCACCTCAGCTGCCACCCCATGTGGGAGTGAAGAAAGGGTGAGCTGTAGATGAGTACAGTCCTTATATAAAGAGTGACAGGTGAGTGCAATTAAGGGCAAGCACCACACCCAATCAAAGGTGAGGAAAAGAAACAAGGTGCATCTGGTCAAGTGAATGTGCTGAAAGGTGATTATTTACAACACTGTGCATAAATGAATGCCTGCAAACCTCAATGGACTGAAAATTTAAATTTAAAAAAAGAAGAAGAGTGGGCTGAAATTCCTCTACGACAAAACGAGAGCCTGATTACAGAAAACAGTTACTTCAACTCATGGCTGCTGAAGGTGGCTCTACAAACGGTGGACTCATGAGGTGCACTTTGTTTTTGTACTTCCTTTTTCACATGACAGTATATTTCCCCTTTCATTGCAGATTTAGGAATTATTCCATATGTTTTGTGATGTATGAGTTATGCACATATATCTATTTCTGAGGAGTCCAGCTGCAGCACACTTGACAAGCGTTAATCTAAGTAGGTCTTGCTGGCTCAAGCATGTGTTTAAAGAGTAGCAATAGTCTGATTTAGAGGAAATGAACGCACTTATGACCATCTCTATTTCTTTTGGATAAGATTGAACCGATGTTGCTGAGTTGCCAGAGTTGAACAATTAAAATCATGTCAGCTACTGCATGTTGTTCAGCAGGGGTGTCTCAGAGGACAAATAAACCTTTAATTTTTTTAATGAATTTGATTAATGCTTTGGGACCTCTTTGACCAAACAGATATCATTGTGGAACAGTGTCCTCTCCTGGTTGGAGCCTGTCACAGCAAGACATTTGTCACGTGGACATAGAGGCAGGTGTAACAGTGAAGTGTAGTGAGGTGGAGGAGTTGAAATACCTGTGGTCAGCAATCCAAGATAAATGACAGTGCACAAGACAGGTGAGTGCAGAACGAGAAGAGAGTGCAGGTAGGGTGGAGTAGGCTGGAGACGACTGTCAGGGGTGATTTGTGACAGAAGAATAGCAGCAAGAGAGAAAGTAGTTTACAAGGTGGTAGTGAGACCTGCTGCCATGTATGGTTTACAGACGGTGATACTGAGAAAAGGACTGAAAGTTGAGTTGAAGATGATAAGATTTTTACTAGGAGTGACTATAATGGACAGGATTGGAGCATCAGAGGGACAGGTCAGGTTGAGCAGCTTGGAAACAAAGTCAGAGACGGGGATTGTGGATGTACTGGACAAAGCATGTTGACTATGAAGCTGCCAGAGAAGAAAAACAAAGACAGCTAAGATTCAGGGATGTGGAGAAGAGTTTGTGTGACAAAGGAAAATGCCAGGGTGAAATGGTGCTGTGTAAGCAGCCAAAAGAAGAAGAAGAAGAAGCTGTACGTATGTGGCAATGAAGCCTATCAGTTCCCGCTCCCAGTTGATGAGACAGATCATTCAGAAAATGGGTTTATTCGTAATACAGCAGGATTTTGGTTTCTTACATCACATACAGATGTCTCCATGCATTCAGCATTGAAACATGGTCTTCAACATTTTTTTAAATCTACTTGTGTAACTATAACGGTACAGAATGAATCATCAGAATCTTTTTTTTCTCTGCACTGATTGTTTCACAGACACAGTCTACATCAAAGTTTCTTTAAACCCCAAAGAGAACTGAAGAAATCTACCACCAAATATGAATCAAGTATAC